GGAAAGAGTATAAAATCATAATTTAAGGATATGCATCTGTTATATATCTGTTATTATCTCTTGATAGCAAAGCCTTTTGTAAAATGTAACTTTATAAAATATGTAGTGGATTTTTATAGGCAGCACAGATAAGGAACATCTAATGTTTGAATTGTTGTTCTGGATCTGGACCTGTCTGAAGAGAATCTGTTGGCCTCTGTGAAATAAGTTGGTCTCACTACATTCCTTAAAAGACATATCTTCAATTCATAATTCTCTCCATCACATTGGGCAAAAACTGAGACAAATAATTGATGATGTCAACAGAGAAAGCAGAGGAGGTAGCTTTGCAGGAACATAGTTTGAGTTACCATGGTTCTCGGAAGGCAGGAATGAAGCAGGAGTTGGTGAAGGAGGGCCAGCACTTCTGTTGTCCATACTGCTCTGGTTTTGTTGATGCACATAGAACTTTAGTTTGGGGGAGTCACTATTTAGCCTTTGCATTTGGAATCTGTAAAGTGTGATGTAAATTCAGCTTCAGTTTGACTACTACATAAGAATTGATTAATTTCCAACTCCACCATTTTTTCAGAGGAAGGAAACAAAGGTTATGGACCTGTTTTTGAGGAGCAACCCATTGATACCATCTATCCAGAAGAATCTTCAGATGGACAAGTTTCAATGAACTGCAGAGCTCGAGCAATTCCTTTTCCTACTTACAGGTAACCTCTTTTGTTTTGATTTTTAGGACTTACATATTTTACTCAGTGAGTGTTTTGACTGTCAAAACAGATTGATACTAAGTCTTCAAAGCACGAGGAAATGGGGAGATTTGCAATTTTTGAGTAACAATCAACCTTGATTCATTTTGCCAAAACATCTAGACATTGTGGAAAACACTATATTCCTCTTGTGTTAAACGTTTTCAGCTTTTGAAAGGAATACTAATCCAGATGCAAAACATAAAAAAAAAAAATGAACTTTAAAAAGGTAATTAAGAGGCTGTCGTCTTAGTTTAGAATCAAGGCGACTGAGATTCATGTCATTGTTCTTCTTGATTCAGAACAGCTTTTTTTATCATATTTTACTCTGAAAGGAGGACTTTCTGTTGAACCTGGATATTCTACATCCTGTGTTGCTTTTGCAGCCACCATATTGTATAGAAATGCTCAAGAATCTGTCAAGTATGCTGCTGAAGACATAAAAAAGTTCATTGTTTCAACTCGTCTTAGGAGAGATTGACACATGACCTCTTTCACAATAATTGTGTTATTAGCAGAGCAGTTCTGCTTCATTGTGACATGTCGGGGCATCCATATGAGTTTGTCGGCCGTTATCTGCTCTTTACCTACAGAGAAGTGTGTTTAGGATTGTCACTGTTAAGACTGACTAATTTACAACCTAGTCATGGGCAGAAAACTGCTGCCATAATACTAAGGGACAGACTGAATTTCTTGCCAGCAGAAGAGATCCATTTCATTGAATTATCCTAACATCTGCCCCCAGTATTCTCCTGCATGTGTTCCTAGGCTCTGGCTTCCAGGACAGAAGAAGCAGTTGAGTCAGCTGGCCGTTCTTTTAGATGTTAGAGTATTGTGGTCAACTGTGGTATTCTCCCATGGAAACAGCTTGGCTAGTCTTCCTTACCTTTTGAAAAAAGATGCTTACAGGTTGTCTGTGTGTACAGAACCACCTGTGATTGAAGGATTTGAGGAGAAACTAGAATATCCCTTTTGAATACGATCCCTGGCTCTAGTATCTTTACGAGTTCCTCTGCGTGGCACTTTGCTGTTGCACTTGTTTGCTCTCCCCATGCTTGCAAAGAACTGGACGTGTGAAGAGATCAGATGCACTTAGATTTGGTGCCCTTCTGATGTAGTTCCCCATCACTTCCAGTCTGTCCAGAGATCTTGTCTGCAAGACTATGTAAACATACCATCTGTAGGGTGATTACAGGCTCTACATATGTTTTACCATTCTTCTTTATCTGTCATGGACTCTGCAAAATCTGAACTAGTAAAGTCAGTCTAGAAGAACTGCCTTGCACCTCCAGAGCAATTCTAGCTTGGAACAGATCTGACAATTAGTGCTGATAGCTGGTGTAGTGATAATTACAATACAGAGTAAGGCCACTTTTCTTATTTCCTGATGTCATTACTTAGGATAACTCAATATATTATCTTCATTTCTTAGCCCTCCAACAGTTCATGAACCAAAATTCTCCTGTCCCAGAGGTAGATAAGTCCTTCCTGCCAATTTTTCATTGCATCATAAGCTGTCCTCATGAGAGTTATTTCTAGGTGTTTCTGAATGGAGGATTTTTTATTTGTAATACAGACATACATAGTATGTCTCGCAGGGCTGAAGTTATACCTCTAAAATTCTACAAAACATAAATGTTATTTATGCATCTTGAAAATCATGCTATTTCGTTATGAATATTCAATTTTTTTTATATAGCACTTTTATTGTTTCTTTCTATGACAATTGCAATTCCAGCTTCCAAATGAGTATTCTGTATATTTCATTACGTCTTCATTAAAGAAGGAACACATGGGGTATGCACTCCCATTTTCCAACACTAATGCCTATCTTTTTTATCTTTTGTGACAAAAAATTACACTGAGAGAATTTTATGATATTTAAATGTATTTAAGTTGCATCTTTCCTGTTTGTGTTTAGGAAAGGTGCCGTTCCTTTCAAAGAAAGTTATGGGCTCCCTCTTGTGGTCACAATAGTAGGTATAAATAAAGATGAAAATCAAGAATACTATCTCCCACTCCATGTACTTTAACTTGTTTTCAAGTCAGTAGAAATCATTAGGGACCCGAGTTCCTTTCTTGTAGTCCTGAAGAGAAAGTTACAGTGACTCAGTGGAGCTTTACAGTAATTGTGTGTCCAGCAATTGTGTCCAGGAATTTTTTGATTGTAGTAAGTCTCAAAGCAGGTGTGCCACTGTTTTTGCACTGACTTCACTGGCACGTTAGGCTTTACAAAACATTTTCACCCCCTACAGCAAGTTTGCAAAAAGTTCTTAAAAATCTCCTTAGTCCATACTTGAAAGATTAGAGAGAGTATTTTCTTAGCCAATTTGGCCTTGAATAAGTGTTTGAGGATATGTTTCTAATCCCAGTGCTTGACCACTAGCTAGCTCATTCAAGGCCAGCTGCAGCATCCTTCTTCCATGGCCAGCAATCAAGTTTTAACCTATGTCACATCTGAAGGCTGAAGCAGACTGAAACTGTTATGTTTAATAGACCTATGGAACTAAAATCTGTGGCTCTTGCTGAAGAAAATCTTAAAACATATGTATATATAAAATTAACTTCCTGTATAGTTTAGCACAATTTATGAGTTATATTTCAAATCATTTCTTACCAGGTTTGTTTTTTGGGGCCAATTCTTACATCTGGCTTTTCTTTTTTAATAGGTGGAAACTCAACAACTGGGATATTGATTTAACAAAGGATCGCTACAGTATGGTGGGAGGCAGACTTGTTATCAATAATCCAGAGAAATCAAGGGATGCTGGAAAATATGTCTGTGTAGTGTCGAATATCTTTGGAACTGTCAGAAGCAGTGAAGCCACTCTGAGTTTTGGATGTAAGCCAATGTTCACGTCAAAACATAGAAACATTGCGGTTAGCTTGAAATGCCCAGCGTTGTACGCTGCAGTGTCTTCTGCTGGTGTGCTATAGCTGCATTACTCTGTAAAAACTGTGTCTTAAGTGCCTTAGTCTGCAGAGATCAACACAAAATAACTTCTGTAAGCATTTTGTATACTTCAGCATTCAGCTGACATGACGTCCTTCTCAATAAGTTATTGTTAAATTATGAATTGGAAAGACTTGAGGAGCCAGATCTTGAGATGATAATATCCAGACTCTCCTTAAATCATAGTAGGACCTGAGGGGAAATAGTCACAGCAGAAAGACACAAGTGGGGGTGTGTGGTGATGAGGCACCACTGCCCTGCAAACACAACTGGGATGCCTGCAGGAGGAAAGCATAGCACTCACCAGTAAAGTGTGCTCCCTGACTCCTAGGCCATGATGAAGACCCTGCTGGGGGACATTCTGTCAGCTTCATGAGCTGGCCTTGTGAATGGATGTGTATGCACAGACCTGCACTCTCAACAGATACAGGCATTGTGAAAGACTGAGGTACTACATGAAGCATAATGTAAAATTTTACTGACTGAGGACAGAGTTTGGGATTTTTATTTTATTTTGCCTTAAGATATTTTTTTTTCCCTTGGATAGATTTTTTTCATCAGACAATGAAAAAGGGAATCCACAAAATAAAAAGAGAGTAATCCTATTGTACTGGTGCCCATTCACAAAGCCCTGTGTGCCCTTTAATCCTAACATTAAGTGCTTAGTGTCCCTCTTGTGTTTCACCAGCCTCTGTGAGCAGAATTCACTCCTCACTGTATAAGATCAGAAAGAAAGTGAAAAGTTCCGTTTTCTCCAAGATGTTATAAGACTGTGAGACTACATATATCAAGAAAACGCAGAGGCCATAGTGAGCTTATGGATCATGGCATAGTTGATCTAGTCTTAGTCTGTGTTCTACCCAGTATATTTTCTAGAATGAATAGAAAGACAAGTTGTTATTTCCTTCTAATGGAGATGACATCAAAATTCAGTTTACAGGGCATGTACTCATTTACTTATACCTAAAGAAGGTATCAGTGGTGCCAGTCCTGGACAACCAGTAGGATAAAAACTATAACAATACCTTTAGCTACTTAAAATTAAACCAATACACATAATAGATGAAAAAAGTAGGATCCAAACAGTCTGAGGTATGTTTCCCTACCTACCAGGTCACTGACTGCATAAGCTAAACCTTGATAGGTAGTGTACTGGATAATTATACTGAACAGAACCCTGATATATAATATTTAAATGGTAGTAGGGGAAAGAGGCAAGGAATAGAAGTGAAAAGATAGCTGGAAAGTGATAAATACACGTTAAAAAAAAAAAAGCTACTTTCATTCTGCTTTACATTGTTGTATTTCTTCTCATTTTTACAATCACTTTTAAAAAACTTTTCCTTCCACAATCACTGTTTCTAAGCAATTGAATACAGAGTTGCTAAAACTGATATAGAAAACATATGGTATTTAGTGAAACTTTTTGTCCTTTGCTTGTCCAAAAAAAAAAAAAATTTGATTGAAAAATGGCAACAACCGTTTATGAGAGTTCAAAAAATTCTTGACCAGCTGTACATGAGCAAGACATCTTATTTTTGTCTTGCTATCAAATTTACTGAAATTATGGAATAGGAGCCACATTCTCTCATAAACTTCATGTCAATTAATCCATCTGAAAACTGTATATTTTAGCTGTTACACACATACTTCTGAAGGAGGGAATTTTGTCCTGTGTATTGGCTTTTTGGTGTGTGCTGAGCAAAACCAGAGAGGATAAACTGTTCTGTGTGCTGGGAAACAGTTGCAGAGTAGTAAAACAGCCATTTCATAGCAGAGAGGCTGCAAGAACAGCAAGAGACATTTCCATACTCTCTATATATTAGCTGTATGCTTCTACATGTGCAGTAATTATGCTAATTCTTTCATTCTAGCTAAAAATGAATGTCTTCCAATTAAGAGTTAATGGATCACACTTATAATTTTTGACTAATAACCATGTAGTGCTTGCGCAAAGAATATATCAAGACCCAGTCAGAGTGCAGAGCATTTCCTAAGTGGGAAGAAGGTATACAACTACCTCTCAGTAACTGTATGACTTCCCTGCACCTGCTGGAGAACATTCTATTTCAGGACTAGCATTAGGTTTTACATATACAAATTGCCTGTCCTATTCCTTCTCTATAAGTTCATGATGGCTGTCCTGAACTTTCAAAGGCTATTCAAGAACACTATAAACAAAATGTCTGTGCTTAAAATGCAAATGCAAAATAACTAAAATAACTCAAAAGCAATTACAGATTTTTGCTTTCTCCAAACTTTATACTCTCCATATGTAAAGCAGTATCAAATTAACAACACATTTCTTGCTAATGACTGAAGTTTTAATTTTTTCCTATTTCTGCAAGAGACTTTAAACACTTATCTGTTTCAAAGAAAACAGAAATTAATAATAGAGGAAAGAATATCAAAAGGTCTGCAATAATGAAATTGTTGTTTCCAGGACAGATCAGTCAGTATTTTGAAGATAGAAGGTAGTTGTGTAGTAAGGTCCATGTTGGCAAATGGTATGGGAATATATTCAAACTACTGCAGATGCTGTATGAATAGAGGTGTTCCAGCCTGTGTGAAGAGCTTCCTTGGCCTCGATTAGAAAAACTTGTCTGGTCACATAGCTGATACTTACTAAATCAGGCTGGTATATTTAATTTCAGGGTAAAAATGTATAAAATAATAATCAGAAGTCCTTAGAGTGGCCCATTGCAATGCCTACCATTTAGGTATTGGTCCAGTCAAGATTCAGTCAGTCACTGGAAAGATCTCTATTACCTTCTGGTTTGTTTGAGTTTGAAAGACTTTTCAGAGAGAGAGAGAGAGAGAGAGAGGCATCCATGTATTTGACAAAGCAATGCCATTTGCTTCCTAGGTTCTCATAGTCATTCAGTTCTGACAGCTGAGGTTGGCCATGGAGGAATCCTCTACCTGTACCATATTTATGTACAGATTTGCAGTTGTTGTTTATGTAGCAGTTGTTGCAAAGTTAGGGAATTAATTATTTTTTAGATGACAAAGAGTACCTACTGGATCTATCTAACTATACATTCATTTTTACAGTAGTGAATAGTCCCTGTTTTCTACTTAATCTCTTTTCGTAGGTAGCTGTGCCCCGACTTTTCTTTGTAGTTTCTGGCTGGCTGCTCTTGAACTTAAATTTTGGTTAGATCTCGGAGCCAGCCTTGGGAACTCAGTAGAACTGGACAGCTGCCTGCCACTGAAGGAGGCTGGAGCAATCTGCATGAAGTTAGCTGAGATGATTTCTGTGGTAGAATATTGCAGCCCACAGGGGCCGTATGCTTGGCTGTTACTGACATACTGCTGGTACCACAGTAGCATTCAGAGCAGAACTCCAGTCACGAACTCTACAGTCTGGCTGCACTTGGTGACCTGGGGAAGCTTCGCAAGAGACCTTCCCTGCCTCAAGACGTTTATAGTTTAAGTCCAGGCTGGATACTCAAAATGAGAGTGAAAAGAAGCAGCAAAGTGCAGTTATTGGCCTAGGTGAAGTTACTCATGCAGCTGTTGTCTTACCCCTGCAGGTATCATTACTGTTCTCCCACAGTCTGTGGTTGATGTCTAGCTCCATGGAAGGCTTGTTTATCCTTTTGTGATAGTCCCCTTACCCTGCTGCTTGGAAGTTGGTTTCAAGAGGGTCAGCTAAGGTTTCTCCTGGGATCTTAATCACTTCTGTCCCAAATCTCTGACACAGAAGATACGTCTGAGCTAACTGCTTACCAGTCTCCCAGCTGCTTGAGCTGTCAGGGAGGGCAACCAGGTGATTTTAAAGAAACCACTTTAAGTTACAGTAAAGAATTAAACTTGCATTTTGGAAAAAAATGTAGAAAAATAACATCAAATCCTCTTCCTTTCTCTTCTTGGGATTCCTTCTTCAAATGTAACTCACCTGTCTGCTTTTCGGGATACAATTCACACCACTTTTTTTTTCTGGCATTTGCAACTATGATGACTAAAATACTGTAAAAAAAACTTTATTGCACTTGATAATGGCAAAGTTAAAATGAGCAAAACTGTCATTGTGAGTTCTATAGGGATTTATCTGCTATATGTTATTGTATTTCTGTATTAATCTCTAAAGGGATGAAGATAGTAATTTAAAAATATTGTAGTGAAAAACTCAGTTTTTATCACACTGCCTTTTTTAAACTAGATCTGGATCCTTTTCCACCTGAGGAACGCTATGAGGTTAAAGTGCGAGAAGGTGTTGGAGCAGTGCTTCTTTGTGAGCCCCCTTACCACTATCCAGGTAATTCAGCTCAAAGTGCTTCATGTTCAACTGCTTAAGAGTAGAAGACAATATTTTTTTTTAAAAAAGGGTTTTTTAAGTTTTCTCAAACAGTAACTTAGATGCAGCTTGAGACTCACTGTTTAGACTAGCTTTCCATTTGGAATCTGTGCTCGTAGTTGACTATGTGTAAAGGATGTTGTTGAATTTGCAAATAGGTTTTGATACTACAAAATAATTACTCATACTAATCTGGATAATGGAGGGGAGACTTAGCCTACCACTCAAAAGTCACTGTGGCATCACAGACTTTCTGATGGCCTTGGGCAGGGCCCAGCTTCATTCCCCCTAATGAAGCTACCTCAACAGAAATGATCATTTGCTCCTTGTAAAATCAGGGAACAGCAGTAGGCAGCCCCAGAGGGTCAGAGGTGAGGTGACTTATGCTCTTAGAGTGCCCTTTTCTCGTCATTAGTGACTGGAGAGCTCTGCAGGGATTATGCCTGTAACTTCAAGCATGTGCCATTCTGCTGCGAGGGCTGAATTTGGCTGTTAGTGTCTCTTTTACCTTGTAAATTCATGCTCTATGTCTGAGTATTGCAAGGAACTGGAGAACTGCAACATACTGCTGGTTAAAATATTCTGAGGTGTTGTCTAAATCACAAGACTTAGGGCTTCCCAGCTTCTCAGTTGATTGAGGTCAGGATGAAGCTGCCCATCTCCTCCCACCACACCCTGGTTCCTGTGGGAAGGCTGTGCCCAAGGGGAGCTGTGCACACTGTAGCTGGGTCCCCAGTCATCTGCACTCGTGGCAGCAGCACCCCAGTGTTCCACATCAACAGGTATTAGCTGGCTGCTGAGACACGTGTATTCTCTGCCACGCAGCTGCCCCTCTTGAAGAAAAGGTCTATAAGCTAGAAATCAGAGTGAAGTACTTTATATGCAGACAGTATTCCCTGCCTGAAGTAGCTGATACAATTGCTTTCCAGTATTGACTAGAGCATATTTTCCTCCAGATGATCTGAGTTACCGCTGGCTTCTCAACGAGTTCCCGGTGTTCATCGCGTTGGACAAGCGGCGCTTTGTGTCACAGACGAACGGCAACCTCTACATTGCAAACGTGGAAGCATCAGACAAGGGCAATTACTCCTGTTTTGTGTCCAGCCCTTCCATAACAAAGAGCGTATTCAGTAAATTTATTCCACTTATCCCACAGGCTGATCGTAAGTGTTTATTGGATACACGATATATGTGCAGTGTTCTGTCTGTTTGTATTTTTATTTTGCTCATTCCTAACTACTTTCAGTTCTGTGAGAATTACATGGCAAGTTATAATGGCTGCTGCAGAGTGTTATTTAATTTTCCAGATACAGAGGTCCAGATCACTCCCAACCACAATGAAAACTCTGTGAAGGAAATCTCCCCAGATTCATTCACAAATTTCTTTTCATATCATTGAGATCAGAGTTCTCATCCCCAAAGTCCCCAGCTCTTTTATGTGATAAGCTCCTGTACTCATCCCAAAACCTTTAATATCTTTTCTGGTCTTGGCATTGGTTCAAAGGGTTATGACTGTCAAGCAGAAGCTTTATGTAAAACTTGATAAACAGCTTCAGGAATTAATTTTTTTTTTTCCCAGGAAATCCCCCATGAAAATGGAAAATTCTTTTCCCCTGCTGAAATTTCCGATCCCACAATGGCCTCAGGGCTTTGTATCTCATGGCCAATCCCCTAAGACACCTCTGTGACTTTGTGTTACTAGATTGTTCTCCAGCATTTCTCCATGCAAACTGCATGTTTTCCAAATGGTGACCAGGTTCCCTTTTGCCACTTCAGACTGTCAGTCACTGGAGTCTCATAAACTGATCTTCAAGATTTCAGTGGCTCTTTTATCTGTTAAATTTCCCATATTACAGTGAAGAACTGTGATCGAATTTGCATAATTACAAATCAGTAAACTTTTCCAAATTCTCCATATCCAATACTCACGCTTAGATATTAATCTAGAAGAACTTTAAGAGCAGACCTACAGGGATCACCAGCAGGTAGATTTGATTACATTTGCATCCCTGTGCCCTCATTAAGCTGTAGAGTTGCTGACTCTAGCTCCTTCAACTCTTACTAAGATAATGCTGAGCTTAAATTCCCAATAACTTAAAATATTCCATCCAATAAAATAACATGTTGAAAATAGAGACTCAGGCTTTTGTATACCCACATGCACAGTACATGATCACACTTCAGATTCAAGTAGGTAAGTCTAAGCAAGTTAAAGTAGTGTGCTGTGAAAAATACTAGGCATTACTGCCCAGGGAAATGTAACTAGTTGCTGAGTAAAGCAATTCTGCCCTACTATTAAAAGTTCAGTGCTGAATCAGACTTCATGGACAGCCAGGCTATTTATTGACTGTAAAGAAGCATTTTGTCTGGAATTTTAAGAATGGTTTTCTTGAACTGTGGAAGTTTTAATAGCTGTATTCCTTTCTGTCACACCTTTTCTGAGAATCTCTTTTTTCATGTTAGGTGCAAAAGTGTATCCTGCTGATATCAAGGTGAAGTTCAAGGACACGTATGCTCTCCTGGGGCAAAACGTGACACTGGAGTGTTTTGCTCTTGGGAAGTAAGTGTGTTTTTAAAGCTATTGTAGAGCACTGTTTGCTTTCATATTTCAGGGAATGAGAACAGATGTTTCATCATCAAACACTTTTTTATAGTCTGCCATTTAACAGCCAGTTCTTGAACGTGCTGATTTGTCCTTTACTGTACCTTTTCAAGTCCGGTTCCTGAACTCAGATGGAGCAAATACCTTGAACCCATGCCAGCCACTGCTGAGATAAGCATGTCTGGTGCAGTTCTTAAGATCTTCAATATTCAGTATGAAGATGAAGGACTTTATGAGTGTGAAGCTGAAAACTATAAAGGAAAAGATAAACATCAAGCAAGAATTTATGTGCAAGGTAGGTAGAACAATTTTATCCTTTGTGGTCTGTGTTGCTTTTGCTTATGTTGGAAGTATCTGTGTTCTCCCACAGATGCCAGTGCTGACTCACAGCATCATCCTGACACACTGCTGTTCTATGCTTGTGTAGTAACTGAACAAGTACTCAGTTTGTCTGGTTATGATAGCTGTATATACACCTTGACACTATTAGCATAATTGTGCATAATAGAAATTAGATCAATTTAGAGTACTTGAAGTGAAAAAACTTCCAGGAAGAAAAAGACACCATTAGGTTTTTATTCTTTATTGTTTCCTTATTTTGTTTGTCTTTTCTAATTGTCTTAGTTCTCTTTCAATTAGCTACACTCAATTCTTTATTCCTCCAGCCTCTGACCCTTCCCTTCATGCATTTAGTTAAATAAGGGAACTAAAAATATTATCTTGCTGCTCATAGTGGAATTACCCCAAGGAACCTGACTCCTTGAGTGAGACTTACACCAGCCACAAAACTCTGGCATGAAAAGGTTGTACCATAACATCTGAACTACCTTCAAAATATTTCTGTCCATTTTTGTTGACTGCACAGAACATTTTCTGGCTTAAGATTCTCAGTTAAGTGCTTGAACATCAGTGGGATAAATTCAAAAGTGGTGTGGGAAGGTTGTTGCTGGTTGTTACAGGTTAAGAAACATGTTTGTTTTGTAAAAGCTGGGACACTTTCAGTATTAATTTCTTAAATATCTTCTCTGCACCAAGAGAATATTTTTCCTTGGAGACCCTTTCAGTATATAGATGATTTTGGCAATTTCATGCAGTTTAGCATTTTTATGGCATTACTGAGTAATTTCCATAGGTCAGTGTAAGCAGTAGCATAACTTTGGACACTCGTGAAGCATTCTTTCAGTTCCCTATTTTCTTCTTACAAAACCAGGTTGAAGTTATTTTGAGTCTCTGTGGTACAACAAAAACATCTTGAGTTCACTCTTTCTTGTTCTGTGCATTGCTGAGTTACCATCAGTACTTTGTGTGGCCTCTGAAGTATCATGGAAAAAGCAATGGAATTAGTAGATTGTAATGGTAATTAAATATGTATCTGCCATATTTACAAGGTATTATGTCTTTTATTCTTCAGCCGCTCCCGAGTGGGTAGAACATATCAATGACACGGAGAAGGATATAGGCAGCGACCTGTACTGGCCCTGTGTAGCTACAGGCAAACCTATTCCAACCATCAGATGGCTGAAAAACGGTGTTTCGGTAAGTGTGTGGCTGTAATTAACATGGGATTAGTGGTTAGCTGATGGGAATAATTTTTTTTAACATGCATTATCAAAAGGTTAAAAGAAAATTAATTACAATTATACAAATATTTGCTGATTCCACTTGCATTAGAGATTTAAATCATTTTTTTCTTAAAACCTGGAGAAGAGAGGGCTCCAGGGAGAATTACTGTGACCTTAAAATATTTAAAGAGTCTTAACAAGAAAGATAAGACAGACTTTTTAGCAGGGAGTGTGACAGGATAAGGGGTAATGGTTTTAAATTCAAAGAGGGTAGATTCAAACTATATACAAGGAAAATAGTTTTTACAATGGTGGTAGTGAAGCACTGGAACAGGTTGCCCAGAGAGGTGGTATAAGCCTCATCCCTGGAAACATGCAAGATAAGAAGGTTGGATGGGGCTCGAGCAACCTGAAGTGGTTGCAGATGTCCCTTCTCTCTACTGGGGGGTTGGACCTTTCAGGGTCCCTTCCAACCCAAAGCATTCAGTGATACTCTGATTTTTTTAAAGTTTTATCTCAGCCTTCAGTTTTGAAATATATTTGTGCAGGCTATTTAATATTCAGCTCTCAATTATGAACTTGCCTTTTAACCATGTTTGGGAGATGGATATCCTTTTTACTCCAGGCCTTTATAAGGAAATTCTCTTTTCTTTTCTCTGGATAAAAAATGTCTGTCAGCTTCTCTCAAAAAATAATCCTTTTTACCACATTTAACATGATTGTGTCTAAAAATTTAAGAAAAAATGGTATCAGTAGAGACAAGAGAAGGAAGAATAACGGTGGTTTCCTATATCATACACATTTTCATATTTTTTCTAGTCACCAAATGGTGCAAAATTCCATGACTTTAAGTGATAGGAAGTTTAAATGAGCACCATTTGATAATTTAAGTTGATTGCATAGGCTATTTTGTTTAAACAAAGCAGATTTTCTGTCCAGGCATTTCAAAAACATATGCAATACCCGTTGCTTACACTGTATGATGAGCCGTTAAAGAACAAAGAGAACAGAAGAGGGCAGAACTAATGTTGCATCTGTTGAGCTGTGGTGACAGTGATCTTGGCAAGCAAACAAAAAAGACAACGTGGCAGCATTGTTTTGGCTGAGTATCTTAAGAAAAATGTGGGAGGTTGGAGGGAGAACAGGAATATCACCATCTGCCATATGGAGATGACTTAAACCAGAAAAAAACAATGCTGTTATCTAGCTTCAGTAGATATTACAAACAAGTAATTTAGCAAGCAGTTTGCATTGATGGTCCTTGCTGAACTTGGCTTTTACTGACAAAAATCTGCAGACTGGATTGCAGAGAGCAGTGTGTAATTCTCCAGGAATACGACGGAAGATTATGCTGTATGTTAATATTGCAAGGTGGTTTCCAAATGGAAAATAGCAAAAATACTTAAATTGTCTTGAGATTATAGCTTGTTTCTAAATCAGATAGTTTTTAATTAGGTATTTCATTTTGCACAGAACAAAGATTTCTTGTAAAAAGTCTGATTTAAATGTTTCAATAAAGCTGTACAGGAAAGATGATTCCTTTAATCTATTCTTTCTAAAAATAAATAATATTCTTGTAATATTCCACTGCTTCATGCACACCAGTTGACTTATATACAAGTTTTAAAGCTTTCAGCTCGATTTTCACAAGAAAACAGAAATTAATAGCATGATGTTTCAAAAGTGGATTGACATCTATTTATAATTTGCAAAATACTCAGCTGCACTTTTTGCATTTTTACACAGTTTTCTAGAAATAGATTAAGCACTTTATTTTGATTTACTATATTTTCCTTTTATATTAGAACAAAGTAATAGAAAATAGTTTATCTCCTAGAGGAATCTTCTGAAAAACTACTTCTTTGGGACTTGCTTTGACATTTTGCTGTCATAAAACAACGAACATACTGAACAGTGAGCACGGTGAAATAAATCTTATGTGCATAAAATCAGTGTAATTTTGTGTTTTTTATCCCTGAATCAGTAGGTTTTACATTATTATGGTCACAGTGTATTGAAGAGTAGATGTGTCTAGTGCCACTCAGCTGTGACTTTTCCAGAAAAACATCATTTGACACTGAATCTTTCTTTTTAAAAAGGTGAACACATTGCCACAAAGGCTTAAATGTAACATGGATAAAATAAAATCTCACTTGTGCCTGAATGTTGTGTGAGGGACTCTCTTCTGAGCAGTCAATAAAAAAAAAAATAATTAAAAAAAGTGATGTGGATGACTGTGAATTCTTCATCCTACCTAGTCTATATTAGTGTCTTGTTTTATTGATTTTGTGTTGTAGTTCCGGAAGGGTGAACTAAGGCTGCAGAGTCTGACCTTTGACGATGCCGGCATGTACCAGTGTATAGCAGAAAACACACATGGAATTATTTATGCAAATGCTGAACTGAAGATTGTGGGTCAGTGGAATTATTTATTTACTATTTCAGTTCTGAGTAAGATAGCAGTCATATTTGCAAGCATTGGTTTGTTAACAGATTCCTGTGAGGATCAATATAAGAACCCTCACTCGTTTTAGGTGAGGTGTGGTTTTTTGAGTTCCCTAGCTGGGTTTTGGCAATGACTTGAGGAATCAAGTTACCAGTTCATGTTTGTTGTATTATTTCTGAAGTTTACTTGATGCTGCTACTGTTCAGAGGAAGTGGCAGCGCCAAAGTGTATAGAGCTGCTGTCTAGCTTGTAAAACTGACAGAGAAATGTTTTATTTTTTGCTCACCTGTGCTGACTCCTCTGTGAGGGAAAATCTGCTTTTTTAGAAACCATGTAGTCAGTGACCAGGCCCTTAAAGCTCTTCCTTTTAGCTCTTCCCTTTGCGTTTGCCTTCTAGAACTCACTCAGACCAGCTGCAATGTTTGTATGCAATATGGCTGTTCCATCTGATGGCTGGATGTAGTTGTTAATCCATTGCATTTTCCTAAGGAGCACTCTGTTGAAAGTTTGACATTCGGATCTAGAGCGCTCAGGCTTAAGACAATTTCTGACATTTTCTCCTGATGTCATTAGAACAGGCAGTATGGCATGGCTTTCCTAGGAGATCTCCCTGCCGTAGTTGCCCGGGGTTCTTTCCCTCTCATGCTTGCCTCCAGACTTTCCCAAGTGCTGTTCTTGACTTCCCCAACCCACTGCATAACAATGCTTCATTCACTGTTCTTCTATTACTACGTACTCACTACCAGCCTGGATTACCCAGGAACGAGCACTTTTTGCATGCGTATTTTCAAAATTCCGTGTTGTAAGATGTGGATGTTTATCAGTTTTTCTCTGTACTGCTGTAATTAACTCATAGCCCTATTTCCTCAAGCTGTTCACACACTTGCTGGCATGATTAACAGTGATAGTATGCCAAGATGCAAAATAATTAAAAGCATTTTTTCTTTTACTTGGTTGCAAATAAAGATCAAATTAGTAAGCAAAGGTCTGACCTCAGATATGTAAGTGTGGTGCTTGTTACAGTCAAGTCTCATTACCCTTGTACATCTGAGAGTACACCTAAGGCCAGTCAGCCAAACACAAAACTACAAAGAGGAAGAAGGGCACAACCTTGAAATTGCTAGAGGGGGGTTCAAACTACTGAAAAGTAAACTCAACTGTTCTTTGGAAGTATGATCGAGTGAGAAACTTTTTACAGAAACTGGTCTCCAGGAATTTAAATTTTATTAGGACTGATCAAAAGGACTTTGAAAGGGAGGAACTTTCTATTGATTTCTGGGGACTTTGATCTCCTTAGATTAAACTTAGATGGAGGTT